AAAAATTGGGGGTTTTGGTTTATTTTTTTCCTGAAGTATCTGAATATGGTGTACATTCTTAAAATGTGCACAGGGTCAGTCAAGCTTAGGAATAGCTGGATTTTGGGCTCTCTAAGAGGTTCTCTTAATATCAGCTGTTTGTATCAGCTACTGGGATGTTTGTTGCTCAGAAAGCTTGGCTTCTGTGAAATGTTTTCTAGGGAGCCCATAGTGACTTCTCCTGGAATGTCTTTACTGTCATCTGCTCTTAAAATAGATATTACTGAGCATTAATGGGCAGTTCCACAGAGAAAGTTGTTATACCAACTTTTCTATTGTCTCCTCAATGTCATATGTGTGACAAACTCATCGAAAGATGGAGATCCCAGTTGCTTTGGTAGTGTAGTTGCTGCTGATCCCAGTCCTTGAATGAAGACTTGTGATCTGTGTGCAGACAGTTTTGTTTGGTTGGGTTTTTTTTTTTAATATCTCTATGCTTTTGTGGGAGATGATAGCACAAGCAGAAAAACAACCAACCAACCCTATTTGAATGTTTTATTGTCCTCAAGTTGATGTTTTAAACTAAGATATAAGTGTCGCGGTGGGAAAACTCGAGCACTCAATATGAGCGATCAGCAAGCCTCGTTTATTGATCAGCGTTCAGCATACTTATACAGTTCTTAATGAGATCATACATATTCTGTAATCTAACTAATTCATTGGTCACTATCCTAAACGTCAACCCCTCCCCTAGTTCCTCATTCTTGGTTACTTACTCCCTTATTTCTCATGCCTTAGCTGACCGTAAGCATCCTGTTATCATATAACAGCTGCAGTCAAGGACAGTGTGTCCTTACCACCTTAGCACTTCAGACTAGCAGAGTCCAATGTTTCCCAAGATCCTGGTCGGCCATCTACAGTATGTCTATGTGACCCTTGTCAGCTAACCAATCCTCCACATATGAGTAAACCTAAGATTATATTTCAAGTAACTTAAGCAACTGTACTACAAAATTCAGTTACTTTTGTTCAGTAAAAATTGTAGAACAATTAAAGTCTTTCATCCAATCTCTCATTATAAAACTTGAGCCAAGGAGAATGAAGGGCCTTAGGTTTTGAAGTTCCACAAATTACTACATGAGTAGCCAGGGCAAGGTTATCAATATATATGTGTGTGTGTGTGTATAATAAAAGTAACATATTTAATTCTGTTCTGTTGGAGTTGGTTTTTTTTTAGAATTCACTGTGGAATAAATAATCCCGATCAAATAGCTGGCTATTTTGCATAATTTACAGATGGTCTGCTGCTAACTTTAACAGTTTTTGCATGTACAAGGGAATACATTGATTTAATTTTTTTTTTACCATAGAAAAATTTGAGACTGTACACAGTCATAGTTTTCTGTCCTTGTAATAATTATTGTTTTCCTACAGTATTTGTTACATGGTAAGTTTTTCATAGTTTTTTTTCCAGGTTCAAAACTATTTTTTTATCATGGAGAAACACTAAAAGCTTTTACTTGATTCTTTTGGGTTTTGAGCTGGATCCCATAGTGTTCTTAAGAGGCAGAAAAAAAATTAATAAAAAATGCTTAGCTGTCCTTTTTGAGATAATTGAATGCTTGGTATTCAAGTTTTTTAGGAAAAAATATCCATGAGTCTTCAAAAGAAAAACTGTCTACTGAAATGAAACTTATCATCTTTAATCAAGAAATCTAAAATCTATTTGAAGCAGTTGATGTGCAGACAGGTGTGCCTATCTACTGACTTTGCTGTAAGAAAGGTAATTGTGGAGAATATAGAGCTAACTAGGGACTTACTCTGATGTCTTAAATTGTAAAAGCAAGAGCTGTCAGAGCTTGTCTACCAGTCAAGAGCTAGACTGCCATTTGCTGATGCATAATAACTTGATAGACTGTGGTAACCATGTATGTGAGGCCCTGTGGGTAAATATCAAACATTGGTAATGTACAACAGATGTTTTCAAGTTAGTTTAACAAACATGTTCATTAATATCAGTTAATGCAGGGTTGAGAAACTCTGAACAAATGCATGTCCTGAACATTTTATTTTTTTTTTTATTACTGAATGCTGAAATACCAACCCTTCATGCACACCCCCTGAAGAAGTATGATTAACTGAATCATAGAATGGTTTGGGTTGGAAGGGACCTTAAAGATCATCTAGTTCCAACCCCCCTGCCATCAGCAGGGACACCTTCCACTAGACCAGGTTGCTCAAAGCCTCATCCAGCCTGGCCTGGAACACTTCTAGGGAGGGGGCATCCACAACTTCCTTGGGCAACCTGTTCGTGTCTGACCACCCTCACAGTGAAGAATTTCTTCCTAATGTCTAATCTAAACCTACCCTCTTTCAGTGTAAAGCCATTTCCACTTGTTCTATCACTACCTGCCTTTGTAAAAGGTCCCTCCCCAGCTTCCTTGTGGGCCCCTTTCAGGCTCTGAAAGACAGCTATAGGGGCTCTCTGAAGCCTTCTTTTCCCCTGGCTGAACAGGCCCAACTCTCTCAGCCCGTGTCCTTCATATGTCTGAAAGTGTCTTCCAGGATTATTTGCTCCATCACCTTCTTGGGATTGAGATGAGGCAGACTAACCTGTAGTTCCCCAGATCTTCTCTCTTGCTCTCTTGAAGATATGAGTGCCATTTGCTCTCTTCCAGTCTTCAGGAACTTCTCCCAATAGCCAGGATCTTTCAAAAATTAATGAGTGCCATCAGAGTAACATCAACTAGCTCCCTCAACATCTGGTGCATCCCATCAGGCCCCATGGTTTTATGTATCTCCAGTGTGTTTAGGTGCTCCCTAATCTGATTGTTCTCCACTGAGGGTAGGTCAGCCTTGCTCCAGATTTTGATTTCAGGGGCATGGGATTTCTGAAAATTTATCTTACTTATAAAGACTGATACAAAGAAGGCATTGAGTACCTCAGCCTTTTTTGTGTCCTTTGTCAGCAGGGCCTCTGTCCCATTTAGCAGTGGCCCATCTTTTCCTTAGCCTTCCTTTTGCTGTCGAATCTTTACTTGTAGAATCTTTGGACATCTTTCTGTGGTGTTTTAACACCACAGTAACATTAATACTTACTAAAGTCTGTATGCTACTAAAACTACATATCCTTCGTCTTACAAACTTGCATTTAAAACATTATTGAGTTTCTGTTGTACATTTGATTGCTTATTTTGTCTTGGGAGATTCCTAAGTAGTTGTAGTTTTTTTTACAAGAAGATACTTTTGGTCTTTCTTTTTGTACAGTTTTAAAGGCAGAACTGAAGTATGGCAATACATGCAGCATTAGCACTTACTTTCTTTTCGGGGTTATTATCCTTGTTTTAATCTTATCACTTTATTTTAAATGATGGTAGGGATTTCTGCCAACAACTTTGTTGTTACAAATTTTTCCCACAAGTATTGAAATATATAAAAAGCTTTAAGAGCTGTGAATGAATTGTTTTTCTCTGTACACAGGATTTGCAATGTAAACAGCCATAAGCAAACAGAAAGGCTGCACACCTCAGAGTAGTAGGAATCTCTTACTGCTTTACATGTTATTATGGCTTTGTATTTGATAGCAAGTAAAACTAATGATTTTCATCTTCTCTAAGAAACAAATTAACTTGCTTTTAGTTTTCAGTGGAAACCTGACCTATATTTATGTAGCTTCTTCTGGTTTCTTTTAGTATTTTAGAAAACAACTTTACATTGAGTTTTTAAATTTTAAAATGTATTACATTTTAATTTGATTTGAATTATATAAAAGCTTCAAATTTGTTTTGAAAAGTTAAATGTCAGTTCAAAATGACTCAGTTCAAATAACTTTTTCTAAAATGATTACATGTATGAATGTGCATAATTTAACTTTTGTCTTGAATTTAAGTAAGGTTAAACTGGCTTCAATTTTCTATCTTTCTCGTGAACACAGTCTGTATATTTTACTTCTTTGAATATAATGTTCAAAGAAGAGTACTGAAATTGTTGAAGGAAATCTACAGGAAACCTTTATGAAAATTGGTCAGAATACTTTAAAAATTTAGTAACATTTTCTTCACATGGTGATATATCTTTTCTTTTGGAAAACGTTTATTAATAAGAAGTTGAAAATAAACGTGAAAATATACTCAGGATAATTCCCTGTGTTGGGAAAAAAAAAAATCTCCTTACAGAGTTTAGTTCTTGAAAGGTGCTTAAAAATATCCCAAGGAGTACGCAGAATTTCTTCTCTTAATATTGTGGTATGTATTTCAAAGCTTTCCAATGACAGCTGGAGCTTTTTGCAAACCAGTTGGAGTTGCGTAGCGTCAACAAAAAAAGAAAAATACACTGCGAGATAGTTGTATATTGTATTTAGTTGTTACATTCAGAGGGTCTTTGTGATTAAAATTACCAGTATTCTTGTATTTAAAAATGGTCTTAAATAGTGGGGATAAGTGATAATGGTATTACTTTTGGCAAAAAAGGTTTTTAAAGGTTATTTAGTATTGTGCATAATATTCTGGAATTTTTTAACAATATTAATAAGATAATTTTAATTAAATGGTTTCATGCTGGTATTACACTAACCTTGAAGTACGTATCTTTATTATTTTTGTATCTTGTCTCAACATCAATTTATGGTTAAATGAAAAATTCATAAAATTTCCATGCTAGAAACTTTACATTCTAGGTTTTAGAACATTGAAATATCTATAGTCATATTACTAACTGAAAACAAATTCTTTTTAGCAAAGTGGCCTATGATTTTTGTTTTGTTTCTTTTTTTGCTTTTTGATTTTAATAGCTTTGTTTCCTCAACATGATATGAAAGTTTAAAGTACTGTGAAGCATTTCAAGTTTTAGAAGATGGATTCTGAAGGCTGCATGTCCTGAATCTTTTTAGTGCTTTGCCCACTTTTTAAAAAAATTTATTTTCCATGGTTTTTTATATGCATTGGTTATTTGTTAGCTTTCTTTCATTGTTTTTAATATCTCCACATTTTTATCTAATTTATCATTTTTGTTTTTAAAGGTCCCCAGGTGCATCAAATTTTTCAACGCTACCAAAGATTTCTCCATCTCTATCAAATAATTATAACATGAACAACAGAAAGTAAGCAATATACCTTAAAACATTATCTAATTCAATCGCCCCAGTGTGACATAAACAAATTTTGATGTTTTATAACTCCTAGCGTAAGGATTTTGATTTGTTTTGCTATATTTTGGATTGTGACTTGTTACTGGTTACTTTTTCATAGTGTAGGTATTGTAAAACGTGCTACCATGAAATGAAATGCAGTTAAAGATGTTTGGTAACTCTTAGTCCTCCGTAGAATAGACACTAAAAAAAAATGTTGAGCATATTAAGAAAATATATAAAGACTTCATTTAGAGTTTAGCATGCTAAAAATACATTGTTGTTATTATTATCCTGCCTGAATTTAGATGGACAACAAAAAAAGTATAAACTACTTACATTTATGGTGGTCAGGTTTTCCCTTATTTATTGATGCGAAGGTATTATAGCAGCATATGTGATATCACACATTGTTTTGAGACCACTACAGCTGAGTTTTTTGACTTATAATGGTTGTCATAGTGATTATAGCCATTTATTAATTATCAGCAACTTAAGTTCTGTGTCTTAGTGCTAGAAGATTTGAAAGAGATCAGTCTGATAGGTGTGCTTGAATATACAATGAGCAGAGGCTTAGTAAAATAGGCTTCTCACTTTTAAGGGTTTTCTCCTTTATAATCCAAATCGGAAGTTTAATAAAGAATGTGACAAAACTCTAAAAGAAGAGCTTTCATAGTCCAGTGGCCAACTTTGTGTGTAATCTTTTTTTGTTGTACACAACTGTAAAAAAAAGTTGGTGAATATAGAAAAACATGGAATTATTTCGCTTTAACAGATAATGGAGCATCTTTCAAGTGCTTGAAACGAGAGAGCACTCATCTTTAATACAAGCTGGGGGAAATTGAAGAGGCTTATTCTTACAATTCATTCAAATTTAAACATTTTTTCCAAACATGCATTTTGTGATCAAACATGAAGATGTTAAATATTAAAAAGGTGACATAAATATTAAATATCTTATACAATATCTTCCAGTTAAATACTGCATTTATCAGAAGTGATTTTTCCTAAGGGGTGAAGTGTCACTTGTGCTTCTACCAATTGTGAGTAGCCCCAACTCTCACTGTTAAACAGTTGAAATCCATGTATTTAACTGCAGTCTATTGTACTCTTTGTGTGAATGTGTAGTAAATAAAAAGTATATTGTATCTATGATTGTGTGAAAAATTACTTGACCAGAGCTGAGCCTCCAGCTGTGAACTGATCTCTCCTTCCCCCATTGCTTATGCAAACAACAGTTACAATGCCAAAACCAAGGCTTAACAGTTAATTTTTCCTGGGGAGCCACTGTATTAAATCAAGCCAGCAAGGCTTTCTTCTTTTTTTAGCTTTTTTTTCCTTTTTTTTTTTTCTCTTTTTTTAATCTTAGCTTCTCCCTAGTGATGCTATAGTTATTTTTAGGAAGCACTTATGAAACCTGTTGCCAGCTCTTGCAGCTTTTAAAGATAGTTTCTTCACTTGCTTCAGCTTATTTTATTTTTATTTCTTGCTTTATTTTGGAACCAAAATGGGAGCTTCTAGAACTTAAGTTAAAATTCTGGGGTTGTTTTTTGTTTGTTTTTTTAATTTGAGGATTTTCAACAGAAATTTATGTTTAAAAGGAAGTGATAGAAAATTCAGATTTCATAAGGAATTGTTCCTTTGAAGTGCCTGAACTATAACTTATACATCTGTAAATCAGACAGTAGGTACATGTTCTCTATAGTGTTCTGAAATACCAGCCATTTTTTCTCTTGTAAATCAAAATATTATATATCTGGATGTTATCTAAGGCAGATATTTGGTGCAGAAGTATGTGGTTTTCCTTATAATGCAATAATCCAATACTTATGAGTTTAAAATAAATAGTTACAAAATCACAAATTTATAATTCACTACAATATATAAAACAGGATAATCTTTAGCAGCACTTCTGTTAGAATATATGTTCAAGATGAACTAGTTCAGTGATAGAGAAGTCATATCCATTAGTACGCTATGTACTTTAAAATACATACTGTTGCATTAAGAATTTTTGGCTTCAAAAGGTAAATGGAAAGATATATCTCTCTATTTAATTGTATTCTATTGTTCTGGGTTAAGATCAGTTTCTTCCTATGTTCTAGTCTCCTCGCAAGTATCTCCTTGTCTAAGAAAGCACTTTTCCATTGATTAATGCTATCTTCTTTTCATTACTTTCCTAATTAACTACTTAATGTCAACTTTGTCTGGAATTTATTTTCATGTTTCTGCCTTATTGTCTCTTACATTGCACATTATCTTTAGTACAATAGTGAAATTACACATTTGTGGCTTTCCAGGATCCATTGGCACCTCCCTACAGACATGAGAGGCTGTAACTCTGAAAGAAATACCAACAAGAAATACCAACCCCCCTCATGGCAGGGTGTTGAAACTATGTGATCTTTAAGATCCCTTCCAACCCATAACATTCTACGATTCTGTGATTTGTTTTGAAGATAATTTTAGCTGACAAAGCGGATTTGTAAGGCAGAAAATGCAAACAACAGGTTGTGTGTAGTAATAGTTACAAATGCTAGTTGTTGCCTCGTTTTGCAATTATTATAGCTTGGGTATAGAGTATAAATCATGTTAAAACTCTGAAAAGTATCATGTTACTTTGTACGGTACGCATTTCTGTAATGCTTGTCTAATCCAGGACGTGTTCTCAGTAATAGTAAGTCTCAAATTGGTAAATATTTACTTGTGTGTTTAGCTAGTCATATGTTAGATAATAGAAATAGGTTGTGCAAATTTCATCAGGTCCAAACCCTTCATTTCTGTAAACGTGAGTTTGCATTTGATGGAATGGAGGATTCCAAATAATTGATCATTGATGTTCTTTTACCTTTACAGGTGATCTTGTTGAAAGAATAACATAAGAGGATTAGCATAATATGTGTTAGTGGATTCAGAAGAGCAGGGAGAGACACCCGTCATTTAGGTCTTACTGGAATTTCTGTTTATTGCTGTTATAAGCAATACATTTCATGTCACTTATGGTATTTTTCAAATTATGTGGGGAGGTATTAAAAACAGTTTAACAGGGATTTTGCTTGGGGAAGTAAGTGAAAAGTTTTGTTTTCTTCATGTGTAACCACTGTTTCATGCTCCTAAGATTACTTGCTTCATCATTCAATAGTGTCAGCTTCTCAGAAGACAGACAGCTGGCAGCTTTGTTCATGTGCTTGGTATATTTCAATATGATTATTTCAAGAAGTATAAATGTTTATTACATCACCTGTAGAAACAGTTTCTTTGTGTTGCACCTGACACATAGGCAAATATTAAAAAGGAGGTGATTATAATGTTATCTTTTGTTCTCCAAACAATGATCACGAACAGTAACAGGCAGTAGTCTTTGTGTAGTGAAATGGGCCTCTCTTGCTGCTTCAGGCATCTCTAAAAAATTATGGAACCCAATTACAAGTTTGTTGAAGTGGCTGGTTGCAAAAACACATTGGCAGTGTGTTAAAGTGGTTGAAATATTATGGAGCTCAGTTAAGTTTTAATTTTCTAGGCTCATCCTTGCAACTCAAATTCCTTTTGCAGCACTTGTTTTTGCTGTATGGCACTCTGCTGTCAAATTGTGTCCTTTCCAAAGCTAGTGATGCTTTTCCGAACTACTCTGCTCCAAATCCACACTTCCCAGAATTACTACTACACAATGAGTGCTCTGGGCTCATCATCACCTGAAAACTGCTTTGAAGTTTAAAGGCAGGATACAGACCGTACATATAGCTCATTTTAAATATGGCAACTCAAAATGTGTAGATTTACAGATAATAAAATCTTATTTGGAAACCTCCCTCTACCATTTTCGCTACTTCAAGAACTCTGTCAAGCTGTTCATTTTTCAAGTCTTGCCCTATTTTTTGAGCAGCAATTTCTTATAAGTCATCAGTGTTTTGTTTCTGTTATTGCCCTTACTTGTCCTCCTCATTCTAATACTACCCCTCTGCTTTTCCATGCATTGTTCTTTCATTAAAGGCAACTTTCTAAAGGTTTTTCAGGAAAAGCAGATGAAACTTGAGGACATGCTATCACAAGTTACTTTTTCTAGGGCATTTATGTTCAAATTAAGTTTATGTAGAGTTGCTTTGCATCTTTACTTGTTTTTCATTGTTAACCATTTACTACTGACTGTTAATACTCTGGTTTTTGTCCAGTCTCAAAAGTGTGAAAAGCGCCATGTAGTTTAAATAAAAATAATTCTTCCAGAAAAAAATGAAGTTTGCAGACCGATAAAGCTTTAAAGAGACATCTCCTAGTCTCATGGATATAGCATGCACTGTATTTTGCTGCATATGTTTTGATAAATATAACACAGAACCGTGAAAGAGAAATATACGAATGGACTTGACTCATGGGATGAGTGTGGTAAACCATATTCTCTAAACCCCTCAAATGTATTTCTGTGGGCCAGTACAGAAGATGAAAGAGAAATGGCTTTCCCTTTCGAGAAGTAAACTCTGACAGTTTGTCCTTTAGAGCAAACCAACACTGGGATCTATCTGCATTACAGTGTTCTTGAATTAAATTATCATTATGTTACTCAGCTAATTTGAGGAAATCTTTCACATGAGTGCACTATGGCCAAAAGACACCAACTGCATTTCCTAGCTTTCTAGTGTCCCTCCTAAGGTGGAACTTCATGAAAAAAAAAAAGCTGCAGAGAAGGAAAAGAGGAGGGGGGTGAAAATCACATTCAATCTGTTTTATTACCCCTGCATCTCCTAAATTTCCAAAAGAGATTTCTGTTAACCATGTGAAAAGTATCAGGTGAGGAAAGCAGTAGGGAGCAAGCAGGGCTGAAAGTAGAAGCTTATTGTGTACCCTCTACATGTGCATTTCTCTTGCTACTCCACACTGTTGAGCTGGGCCAGGGGGGTTGGTTATATTGTGGAGCTTGCATTAACACTGATGGCAAGCTTGTGCTTTTTCTTCTTGGGGGAGCTAAGGCTTGCCAACTTAAGAAGAATTGGGGTTGATTGCAGTAGCTGGGCTGCAGCTGCAAAGGGAGGTGGAAGGTAATTTTCCTTGTAAAAATACATGTGTAAACCAGGGACTAGTGATAGGAAAGGGATGACCGCAGGAGCTGGCTTCAAGGGTAAATGGGCCCTGGACTTATTAAAGGATGTTGTGTAAGCTAGGGTGAATCATTTAAGTTAGGATTAAGCTAAACAGGGAAAACTAACTTTACAGGAATTTTTCATGGAAAATGACAAGTAAAATACTTAGCTAGTTTGAGGTGAGCCAGAGAGCAGAGAAAACGCATGTGTATGGAAAAGTGAAGAATTGATAGGAGAGTCAGCTACTAAAAAGAGATGATCAGATGTAAAAGTTTGAGAACAGCAGCCTTAAGGACAGTGGAGCTATATACTGCACAGATTTCGGAAGCCATCAAAAAAGGGAGAAATTTTCTTCCTCTTCTGTTTGAAATTTTCAATAAATCTTGTGATTAAAACAAAACAACTGATGTTTATGAAAAGTGAGTGTGCACTGAAGGGACAGTTGGAGTTCAATTGGATGTAAAGAGTGTGATACAGTTCAGGAATAATGGCTGGAGTGTACCACTGGGCACTTGCATCCTCAGACTTTTACAATTATAAATCTCAATTAGTTATGAAGATTGATTCTTTGCACTGCATATTTCTCCTTGTCATTCCTAGCAATTGACTTTCAAATTTTTACTCAGGTTGCTTCTAATGTGAATAATGCTTATTGACTGCAGAAATACTCTTGAACTTTAGCCAAAACTACTGTCATGCAGATTTCATTATGATCAGTGCCTGAAATAGTTTAAGAAAAAGTTTAACCTTTCTGGTTGGTTGTTTTTTCTAACATCTCTAATATTACTGAGCATCCTTTTACAAGATTCTTTTACCTTTCTAGTGTTCTCAGATATGCTTACTTTACTCTTTTGAGGGCTATGCTATATTTAGTATTTGCATGATTTCATCTGGAAACAAATTGCTTTAAATCTTACCGTTTTACCTATTTCAGTCTTCTCCAGTTTCTCCAAACAGATGCATCACAGAGATTTAAATGAAGTTGTTACAAGGCATTTTGCGCATTCTTTTACCTCTCAAGGCTTTCCTGCATTTGCATGCTGGATTGTGCTGTCCTAGCAGGGAAGCTATAAATAGACTCTCTGATGCAGTGAGGCAGCTATGCCATAGTGGCCTTGGAAATCTCAGCTTTCACCTGTAACTCTGCATTCCCATTCCCACCGACCTCACTCTTGCAGTAGCAGGATGCAAAAAGGACGTAAATGATTGATTGCTGCTGGTGGTGTCTAAAGTCTGAGTGTATTAAGTTTGATGGAGCAATGGAGAATGGAGTAAGCTGTGAAGCTGCTCCTATCAAAAAGGGGTAGGGATATAATAATTACAGTTATTGCAGTACATTAGATTTTGGTTGTTTGCACAGGTGACTTTTAAACTGAAATTAATGTTATTGCCAAAGTGAAATACTTCTTTAAAATCCTTTCTTGTTCACAGAAGTTACTTTAACTTTTTTAATCATTTAAGTTTATAAAGTACTTGTATGTATTAAAGTACTATAGAGTACATGTTTACATTGTGAAAGGTGTTTTGTTTTTTTACAGTGTGAAAAATTCAAACTATTGTCTCCCATCATATACGGCTTATAAGAATTATGATTATTCAGAGCCAGGAAGACACAATGAGCAGCCGGGCCTGTGTGGCCTGAGTAACTTGGGGAATACATGTTTCATGAATTCAGCAATTCAGGTATGTACTTCAGAATAAAATGAGCTTGTCTTATTACTTGGAAACTAATATCTTAATATATTTTGTCATGTTTGGAAACTAATATTAAGAGACTCTGTTAAGTAACAGGATAGGATTGAAAGTGAGGAAATAAAACATCTGTATTGGTATAGTAGAAAATTTTATTTACATATTTACAATCCTTGTTTCCCATTTTTGCACAGTGATCAATGTCCAAAAGATATTTGACCAGCATTTTACATGAGTCAACCCTTAAGTGGGATTCGTTGGTTTTTGTAACGATTGCCATGCATGCATGCAATGAAAAATGCTTTTCCATTTTGAAATGCGCTTGAGTATAAATTGTAGTGCTGAACGGTCAAAAAGTTAGATGACTGGTGGTTTATTGGGCCTTTATTTCTAACTAATTATAATGTACTTTTAGTGCACAGGTTAACATGCAGGGATCCTTTGAACATATTTTTCCTTTGACCTTTCCCCTTTGAATAGCTGCTGTTTCATGAATGAGATATTTTAAAGGAATGTAATAGCTTATTTCTCTTGCTATGACTGCAAGAGAAGTACTCTAGGAACACTAGGATACCTAGTGTTACTCTTAGCAAGATAAAAAAAAACTTAGTCCTTTTAAATGGAAGCTGCAGTGGTAGATTAATTAATGATCAGAAAAAGCTAATAGTTTAATTTGGTTTTGTCATCAGTCTTATGTCAAAAAACTGTAACGTGTATTTACAGTCTCATTTTTTTCCTAATGAGTATAAAGATACTAGATTGTAATCAAGCATACCTCAGAGTTAATCTCCTTTGTCATCACAAGGGTTCCCGATTCATGTTTGTGGTTTCTTTGGGTGAAAATTAAAAAAATAGTGTTGAATTCCTTCTGTAGCCTGGTCAGGAAAAAAGTAGTTTCAGATAGATTTGTAAGCTAAGTTTATGAAGTTGTTGAAATTTGTTCAAAGGAAGAAATATTGCAGAGTTTCATAGTCTGTGCAGATTTTTTAATCCCTTCTTTGTATGTAGAATCAGAGAATAATTTGGGTTAGAAGAGACCCCAGAATGATTGTGGGTCCCGCGTCCTGTTTGTGTCCATTACACTAATCTTGTCACTGTGCACTTCTGAGAAGAGTCTGGCTCCACTTCTCTTTTGCCCCCCATTAAGTAGCTGCAGACAGCAACAGGCTCTCCTCTTAGTCTTAATCTTCTTCAGGTTGAACAAATGCCTACAGCTCTCAGCCTTTCCCTGTATGTTGCTCTCCAGCTCTGGGACCATGTTGGTGGCCCTCCTCCACTCTTTCTTGCACTGGGGAGCCCTAAACAGGACAGTGCTCCAGCAGCAGTCTCACAAGGGCCAAAGTAAACTTTTTTCCCCCTTACATTTTCATGTTTTTTCCATCAGTGCGATTATATATACTTGACTTCTTAAAAACAGCTGCTGATAGCTTTGCAATGGTATATTTCAGCAATTTTCTTTCTTCAGAAAGCTGATTAACGTTCCCTCTAGAGTGACTTATGGCTGTGAGTTTATCCAGACAACACACAACATCTTTCACCAAAACCTGAAGTGGATAGGCTTTCAGTACTCTGTTTCAGTTGCCATGGGCATACAGAGTTTGGGTTAAGGTGTATTAGCTGAGCGGTTTTCACCACATATGACACGAAGCACTTCAGACAGAAGTAGGACAGACAGGTATAAAGTAATAAACTTTTCCTCCTATTACTTGGATCCTTCTTTCAGACAGTCAGCTTCTTGGTCTTTTATTAGAAGGCGGAAATACATAATTTCAATGTCCCTTGCGTAAAATTGTTATGAAGTAGGACAGCTGAAGAACCAGGATACTTATAGGAACACTCAATTTTTAGCTCAACTTCATGATCTCATTGTCAGCTTCTCATTTCCTCGGTTTACTGGCATAATAGGTAATGATGTTTCTTTGCTTTGAAATTTTATTTTTATCATTATTTTTATGTAATATCCCTTATGTGAAGTGAATAAATGTTTTCTCCTTACCTTAGGATTATAGGATAATTTGGGTTAGAAGGAGCTTCAGGAGGTTTCTAGTGCAATCTCCTGCTCAAAGGAAGTTCAGCTCTGAGGTTAGACCAGGTTGCCCAGGGCTTTATCCAGTTGGGTCTTGGAAACCTCCAAGAAGGCTGCACAGCCTCTCAGCTCCACTGCCTGACTGTTCATACAGTGAAAACTTTTTTCCTTATATCCTTAACCTTTCTTGTTTCAACTTGCCCATTGTTTCTTATCCTCCCACTAGGCAGCACTGTGAAGAGCTTGGTTCCATCTTCTCCTTAACTTCCCTGTAGGTACTAGAAGGCTGCTGTTGGGTCTTCCTGAATAGTCTCTTCTGCAGGCTGAATAAGCCCCAGTGCTTCAGCCTTTATTCACAGAGCAAGTGCTCCTGACTGTATTGGTGGCCCTGGTTCTTCATTCATTTTATTCTCTTTTTATTAATTGAAAAATCAGAGTCCTTGCAAACTCTTTCATGAGAGCTTTCCCATACTTAAATTGTGTGGATTTAGAGGAGGATAATGTGACTATTTTTATGTGAAAGTTTCATAGGACAGGTAGACTCGCTAACAAGATTATAGTCTAATATTGGAATTGCAGTATTCTAATGAGGCTGCAGCATTGATATAGATATAAAAGGCATTAAAAATAAATGTTGTTTATTGTTCACATTCCTGTGCATCTTAATTCCTTTCACACCCTACTAGTTACAGCTATGCTCTTTAAACAGTAGACTATATGTCTTTACAGATTATTAGGTCTCCTTTGTGACTCAATAGTTTAGCAGATTGTTAGTGTATGTATCTCAACAGTGCATGCAGTGTTGCGTAATACAGTTGATGCACAAATTGTGTGAAGCATTTTTTCGTCCAGTCACAGAATCGCATTGACTAATTTTCTTGGAGGTTGATTATGATTCCTTGATACTGATTACATAAATAGTTGTTATCCACAGATTGCTCTGCCACAGAAAAATCTTAATTTTTTTTTCTTTTTTTTTTCCAAGTAATTAATATATAACATGGAACTATGATTTCAGTGACAACTTTTGTCATGCTGAAGACTGATCCTTGTCTTCCATGGTTTGTCTCATAGTTGGTCTTGGAGTTTCTACATTCTGTTGCATCTTTTCCCATGATCATTCAGCAAAAAAAACAGTTTGGATTCAGACTTAGCACTTCACAGAAGTTTTGTTGGTTAAACGAAACTTGTGAAGACTGCAGTACCTGAAATGAAGTGCTGTTCTGTTACCTCTTGAGTTCACAAGTGGTTTTCTGTAGTTTTACTGTATTTGCTCAGCTTTTTTGGTTTCTGTTATTCTTCATCTGTTGGTATACTTGTTAGTTTACCTATGTCTGTGTTTTTAAAAAAAGATTTTAAAACTTCCAAAACCACTAGGCTAAACAGGGCACATAGCACATAAATCTGATGATTTTGCTGTCTAGTAGATTGTCTTGGTTCTAATAGTTTTGGGGTTTGTGTTGGGGTTTGTTTGGTTGGTTGGTTTGGTTTGGGTTTTTTGATTTTTTTTTTTTTTTAATTGATGCTTTCCATAAAGCTTTCTTCCCATCATTAGAAAATAAGAATGTAGGCTTCCCTTCAAATTGGCTTCTGGATGCTTTTTTCCCTGTGACTTTAATCATGATCTTAAATATGAAATATTTCTCCATTGTCACCCTTTTCAAGAAGTAAACATGTTTGTAACTATTTAGCTTTGTCAGTTATGTTGAAAAGGTCAGTGGGTTTGTGGCCAACTGTATTACTTCCTTTAACAGCTACTATTTTAAAAGTTATGACATCTGATATTGTAGGGAAGATGTCAACCCTATATCTCAGCAGTTGCCATGTCCAGATAGGTACTTATGCATTCCAGTACTACATACAGTGTCATTTTATGTTGGAATGTGGAAATTGATATAAGGAAAAAGGGAAATTATCTGTAGTAATATTCCTCACTTATACATACACATATAAATTAATATTCTGAGAAAGTGACAAAACTAATTTATCAAGTTGTCCTGTTTTTTAGCTAAAACAGAGCTGGGTTTCTTTTCAGTAGTTAGAATAGTGCTGTGTTTTGCTCTCAGCCTGGGACTTGTTATGAGAGAGACACTGATCACACACCAGTGTTGGCATTTTTGTCACTGGAAGTGAAGGACTTTGTGTTCTGTTAGTCCACAAGCACAGGATCTAAGTGGGTGAGGAATATTTAAATTAATAAGCTAAACTGCCATTTGGCCATGCCAATGGGATATTCCATATCATATCACATCATGTGCAGTATATTAGTGAGGGTCTCTTCCTCTTTTGTCTCGCTCTGGCTTTCACTCGGGCTCTCGCTCTTCCAGGATTGTGGTTTTTTGGGATTGTCGCTCCTCCAGGATTGTTATCTGGGAAAGGGCCGGGCTTGGTCAGTGGGTGATGAGCAGTTGCACTTTGTATCACCCCTTTGCATATTTTGTTACTGTTATCATTATCACTACTATTTTAATATTAGTATTTTTTTAAGTTTTCTTTTATTTCTATTATTAAATTGTCCTCATCTCAACCTATGAACCTCCTTGTCCTTGACCCCCGATCCTGTCCCCTATCCCCTGGGGGTAGGAGGGAAGTGGGTGAGCATCTGTGTTGGCTGCTAGCCAAGGGCTAGCCCAGTGAAACTATCACACCAGTGAAAATGAGAAAAAGATACATTAGGTTTTTTGGTGAAACTACACACTGTTGGCACATTGTGTAGTGCTTTACTGAGAACCTATAGAAAAATTTACTGTTTTCGCATTTTTCAATTCCTTGTTCTGGACATTCCTCACACTAAGCTGATCAGCTGAACTGCTTTGATCTCCTAAACCAACCCAAAAATAATTCAGAAGAAAAGTGAGGAGGAAAAGTATTTTTTTTACAGGTTAGTGAGATGAATATGTTTATTGTGCAATAAGGTGAGAATCAGCAGGGAAGGGGAAGGACTTCTTTGGGCAGTAGGATTTGTCACATCACTCAGATTGAACATGCAGTTTTACCTGAAGTTTAGTTTTATTTATAGTTAGTTTAGCATGGTTTACCTCTATTGTTTCTGGGTATCTGCTGGAACTTGGTAGTCCATCCATTCATTTAGATTGATGCTAAAAATAATCTTTTGGAAACTCTGCTTGACCACTTGTGTATGAATTTGAGAGACCAAGTGTTTCTCTTCTTAGCTGCATGGATCAGTTCAGAACTGACAGCACAGATCTGTGAGGGAGGAGGGGCTTGGGATCACCACTAGTAGGAATAAAAGCTCTTTGCAATGTAGCAAGAGGAAAATGAGATTTCTCAACCCTCAGAGTCCAAAAGGGCTGGTATATGAAGATTTTTTTTTGCAGTGTTGACAGCTCATGAAAGCTTTAGGTAACAAGGGAGAGAAAGAAAGGAATGCGATATGGGCATGAAACTCGGGTCTGTACAGCACATGACTGATTTTCGTTTGTAATATTGCACAGCTATGATAGGCAGAAATAGGAATAACTTTTTTTGCCCTGCTCAATAAAGTTGTAATTCTTCTAGTCTCAACTGTTGCATCATACACAGTAGTGTATGCAGAGCTATAACTTTTGTTCTTCCCTTTATTTGCGGAGAGGCAGATGAGACTGATGAAATATATGACCTTTCTTGGAATCTTTAATAGAGGAAAGAATGCAACAAAGCTTTTAACATTTAATAAAGAAACTTTGCTAAATTTATATGCTAAGTGGCATGGCATGGGGATCATTCTGAGTGTTGGAAAAGTTTTTATTTAAAGACGTGTGAGGAGTAGCACAGAAAAACTCAAAGTGGTTTCCTGAAATTGTAAATCATACTTCAGTGATTACATCTGCAATCTCTTAAGTGCTGACAGAAGAGACAAACTGGTGTAGGGGATAAGTCATTCGCTCAGTCTAAACTAAGACCCTTGCTTTCCTGGAACTAATCTCAGCTATAAACAACTTTACAAAAATGAAAAAAACATAGGAAGGGCTACACCAATTCTGATTCAAGATCTAGTCCGTCTAGCATAGATTACTGTCTTCAGCAGCATCCATAAGCAGATATCTAGGAAGAGAAAGAATAGGGCAAGCATCCTCACGTTCCCTTCCCTCCCACCCCTGACAAAAAAAAATCTCTTTCAGTTTTCAACTATTTTCAGCTCACATATTTTTCTGAATGTGGTGTAATTTGATTTAGTAAGCCCTGTTGACTCTCTCTTCCAGAGTACCTAGGCAGTCTCTCCTTGAGGCCCTGTAAACTTTAGACATCTATAAGAACTTTCAGCAAGGAATTTCATAACACTACTGTTCATCTACCAAGAACCACCTTTTGTTTGTTTTGAACCTCAATACAAATTGTGTTGTCACACTGGTTGGCTGTACTACTACGTCTAATAAATTCTGACGTAAAGCTTTGGAAAAATATTTATCTGTGCGTAACTTGTAATGGCAGTTGCAGCCAGTCTTGGTTTAAAACCATTATTTGTTTCTGGGAAAGACCTTTTTTTTTTTTTTTTTTTTAACAAACTTAAACAAAGTGCAAACATTCTTTGTTTAGAACTAATTTAAATCACTGTTTTAAAAATTTTGTATTTCTGTTTACAGTGTCTGAGCAACACACCTCCTCTTACAGAATACTTCCTCAATGATAAATACCAAGAAGAGCTGAATTTTGACAATCCTTTAGGAATGCGAGGTGAAATAGCAAAATCTTATGCAGAGCTTATCAAGCAAATGTGGTCAGGAAAATACAGCTATGTTACCCCAAGAGCATTTAAGGTCAGTAGGGAATTTAACCTGAATGTATATTTTCAGTTTTGGTTTTGTGGTTTAAGTATACAAAACTTATGTTAATATGCAAAAATAAGAATTTGAAGTAATATTCATCAGTATGCAGTCCATTCATTTCACTGTTTAAAAAACTTGTCTGTGTATTTAAATGTATGAGCTGTCCTTGTGCTCTGGTCTTTGAGAATTAGTTTTGACTTCCTGTCTCCATTGAAAAGCTTATCTTTTATAACTGTGTAAGTTTTACCTATTCAGCTTTCTGCTGTGGTATCTCAGAAGGATCTATTCTTTATAACAATGAAGGTATGAGAAATATTTGTTTGTTTGGTTGGGTTTTTGTAGACACAAGTGGGACGATTTGCACCACAGTTTTCTGGTTATCAACAACAAGATTGTCAAGAGCTACTGGCTTTTCTCTTGGATGGATTACATGAGGATTTGAATCGAATTAGGAAAAAGCCTTACATTCAGTTAAAGGATGCAGATGGGAGACCAGACAAGGTAGTGGTTTTGGTGTTGGTCTTCATTTTAGTCAAGGCTATACATTGTGAGATACTTCTACATGATTGTGCACTGAAAGGTTGGAACACTGATCCCATGTTGCTTTTTCTGGAAGAGATTTCAGAAAATAAGCCAAGACCTTAAAATGGAGATCTTATTCAAGTACTTGTGTAAATTTCTGTTTGTTTGGAAGGTAATTGGGGGAGTGGAAGGGTGGTAAGGCTTTGTTAAGACCTTTTTGTTCAATTCAATGCTGAGTTCGGTTGGAAAAACAATTTCCATTCTGTTGTTCTTTTATTCTTATATCTACATTATATAGCATTCTGTCTCTCTCCAGTACTTTTAATTTAGGGAATTTAATTGAGCTACAGTATATATAATTTATTTTGTTACTAATATGTTACTTCAGATGGAATTTTTAGTTCTATATGCACTAGTCTTGCTCCAAGCTACTTGAAGTCTCTCTCAGACTATGTAATACTACTGGCAGAATCTCTGACTTAGGAAAAACATACATCTCAACCTGTGTTCCTGATAGTTGTCACACATATCTTACAGGGTCCTTTGGAGTGAGATTTCTATGTTTAGTTTGTAACTGAGAATGTTCTATAAAGTACTCTCGCTAATAATTCTCACTATTCATTTCCTACTACTTTGTCATAACCCAGGTCATGCTTTAATTACAGGTGGTTGCTGAAGAAGCCTGGGAAAACCATTTAAAAAGAAATGATTCCATCATTGTAGATATATTTCATGGCCTTTTTAAATCCACCCTAGTTTGTCCTGAATGTGCTAAGATATCTGTAACCTTTGATCCCTTTTGTTACTTAACACTTCCATTACCCATGAAAAAAGAACGCACTTTGGAAGTGTATTTAGTTAGAATGGATCCACTTGCAAAGCCTATGCAGGTAAGCCTCTTAGTTTATGTACAAAACTCGTGATTTGTGTGGCATTAACAATGAACCTGAGTTCCTTTACATTTTTAAAATTTGTAAGTACAATAAGCATATACAACAAGCTTTAGTTTTCTAGTATGTGTTCTGAAGTTCAAGTTAGAATGCACTTATACATACCTTCCTGTATTTCTATCAGTTTCAAGGAAGATATTGGTAATTTCTTTATGATTGTGTTAATAAGGCTTCTTAATCTTTTAAATGTGTGCTGTCCTCATTCTTTATTTTAGTGTTGCTATAATGAATTTGTATGGTTATAAAAAAAAAATTATACACTTAATCCAAACTTAATTTCTCACTTTATTAGCTTCAAAGGGAAATACTGGTAGTCAGTGATGCAAAAAAACCATTACTAAATATATTAGGTAGTCCTGAATTCTTCTGTGCTGTCGTTTAATAGTCAAAAGAAAACATTTCAGATTAGTTTTCTTTGTAAAGAGTCTCTCTTTTGCCTTTTTTAGGAAGGATGGTATTATACACCTTAGAATGGCAAGCAGTTAGGCAGACTTGCAAAAAGGCGGTAGAACCTGAAATCAGAGTACTGTAAGAAGGAAAGTGAGGGAAAAGGAGTGTTCTCGAAGGCAATATGAGTTAGGGAAGTCAAACATAAAAGAAACTAGTGGGAGATGAGCCTGCTAGAAATTAAATTATTTGTGAGAATGGGTTTGCACAAGGGACATACAGTAGTTGAAGATGACCCTGTATGACATGTGAGATGGTTATGCAGGAATGAATCAAGATTGGGAAGAGTTTGAGTTCAGTAGAGTTTTTGTGAGTCTAAGTAACTATAAGACTTAAGAAGATACCAAACACATGCTGTACTTGGCAATTAATTACAAAGTTATAATACCTTATTTCTAATTAATCCTGTCTTTATTTGTTATGGAAATCACAGGTAAGAGTCCTGTTTGGAGTTTCATTACAAACTGCAGGTGTACTGAACTAAGGGAAGCCACAGAGAGGTTTCCTTTTACTGTTAATCATCAGGTTCTGTCTCTGCATATGAACTTAGAACTCAGTCTTTATTCATCATCTGCCATTGCTTTTTTCCCCAGTAATAAACAACTTGTGCCGTATTTCAAATTTAAGAATCTAGTCAATTGCATGCATACTATTTAAATACTTAAATAAGTAGGTGCTGTTGAAATATAAATCTAAGTAATTAGTGCTGTTAGTCTTCTTAAGGAGAAAGTAAAGTAACATTTTAAAAAAATATTGTATAGACTAATAAATGTAGTATTCAAAGTGTGCATGTTTGAGTAGAGTTGTGAAGGTAACTATTATGTTTTCAGCAACTTACGGCATTTGTGTTAGTTTGTGTACATATTTTACCCCTTAAGTTCAAGGATCTGAAAGAATTATGTGAAGTACGCTCAACATATGATAAGTTGTTTGGTTTTTTCTCATGCATATTTGTTCTCTTAAGAAATTAAAGTGATACTTTATTTTTTTTTAGTACAAAGTAGTTGTTCCCAAAATTGGAAATATATTGGATCTTTGTACAGCGTTGTCAGCTTTGTCTGGTGTTGCTGCAGATAAGGTAAGAGTGATTTCTTAGATGAAGCACAACAATGAATGTTTTAACACGTATTAACCTGATTTAATTATGTATACTCCATTTTCTTTTTAGATGATTGTTACTGATATATACAATCACAGGTTCCACAGGATATTTGGCATGGATGAAAATCTAAGTAGTATTATGGAACGTGATGACATTTATGTGTAAGTAGAGATAATATGCTTCATGTCTCTGCATTTTGTTTAGTTATTTGCAAAATGTTAAAACCTAGACATAAGATAGAGACAAATCTTGGGGTTTTTATTATTTTTTAATTTCCCCTTTGTAGCCTTTTAAATGACAGTTGTTCTTTGTATTTCTGATTGTTTTTCTTTTAGATTTGAAATTGCTATCAATAGAACAGAAGATACGGAACAAGTTATAATTCCTGTGTGTTTAAGGGAAAAGTGCAGGCACACTAGCTACAGCCATAGTGGTTCTTCACTGTTTGGTCAACCTTTTCTCATAGCAGTGCCTAGAAACAATACTGAAGATAAACTCTATAACCTGCTGCTGCTAAGAATGTGGTAAGGTTATTGTTTAAAGAAAAACACATGATTAACACTAATAATTGGAATCAGTAGGCACTTATTTTACATGCATTGCTAACAAGCTGGTTAGATTTTGAGTACTTTTATTTGTTTACTGTTAAATATATTAAGTCTAAAATTTTAGCCACTTGAGATGTCAATGAGTGTGGATTTTAATTTTATTTTTTAGTAGTGTGACCTCATCCAAAAATTATTTTAGAAGATATTAGGGAGTTAGTCTGTATTGTCAGTTTAGGGGAATTAATTCTGCTGTATACAGAGCTTTTTGTTAGGGCTTGGTAAAATGAAAATGTTTTGTCAAGTATTCTGCTATGCTTATACTTCCTGTATCTACTATACACATTTATGTACTAATTTATGTTGTAAAACTACATGGTAGACACTTTCTGAGACTAGACTGGAATAAGTGTCATTATATGGAAGAAATTATAATCATATAACATCCAGTTTAAATTTGTGTTTTATATTCTGTTGATGTAACTTTCTCTGTAAGTGAACACACCCCCCCCCCCCCTTTTTAAAAAAAAAAAAAAAATATGGTTAATGAACAGTTAAATAAGTGGTTTCTGGACAAACAGAAACTTAACACCAAGAATCAAGTTGTATGAAATCAAGTAACTGCCAAAAACATAAGATCATAGATGAGCAGAATTTCAGATGAACCTGTAATAGCAGACATGTTAGGCAAGAAAACTGTTAATTCTGAATAAATCAGAAAGGAATGCAGGACACTAGAAAGGATTTGCTATAACCTTTTTAATTATGTGGCTTGAACAATGTAAATATTTAAAAATACATTTATTCTAACGATTGCTTTCATTTGTTATATTAAGCCGATACGTAAAAACATGTACTGAAAGTGAAGACACTGAAGGATCCCTACATTGCTGTAAGGACCATGGTATCAATGGTAATGGCCCAAATGGAATACATGAAGAAGGATCTCCAAGTAAGAGTTGGAATATCTAAACTTGTTTAGTATTTTGTGTTCAATTTGAAACTGAAGTTAATTCTGTAGTGTCTTTCAATTATTGTTATTCTACCTAATTTCTTCCTCCTTATTCTTCCAATTGTTTCAGGTGAAATGGAGACAGATGAGCAAGATGATGAATCCAGCCAGGATCAGGAACTTCCTTCAGAGAATGAAAACAGCCAGTCAGAAGACTCGGTAGGAGGTGACAATGACTCCGAGAATGGGTTATGTACTGAGGATACTTGCAAAGGTCAACCACTCACGGGACACAAAAAGCGACTGTTTACATTCCAGTTCAACAATTTAGGCAATACTGACATAAACTACATCAAAGATGATACCAGGCATATTAGATTTGATGATAGGCAACCTAGGCTTGATGGTAAGTCATGGGGTACAGGTTGGGCAACATTTGATTCTGCTACTTTTTTTTCTGACTCCACTTCCACAGAACGATGTTTCATTTTCTCTGTATGCTATTTGATAGATCTTCTTTTCCCATAGTAAATTTTGTATAAATAATTAATTTGTTATAGTAATTAACGCTTAGAAATGCAGAAATTGTATGTGCTTCAGTCTTTCATCTTAAATTCCTGCTAGCATTGTCTAATTCATTTTGAAGAGTGTTTGCCCAAAGTTAATACAATTTCACATAAAAAGCAAGAAATAACATTAAGAGAAAACATGTTTTTAATCTTAGAAAGATCTTTCCTTGCTTTGGATTGGGATCCTGAATTGAAGAAGAGATATTTTGATGATAGTGCAGCAGAGGTAAGCTGTTTACGTTGCTCCTCTTTCCAGCACTAACAAGACTTAAATGTGAAAATTTCAACTTAATTAATGTAACATAAGAGAGTCTTCAAGTGAAGCAGCTTGTATATCTTTTTTTCACTTTATTTGTAGTAAATATGTTGTCAGAAATAAACATCACTTACACATCTAAGTAATTGGCAAATCTGAGGCTTATGAATTTGGAAGTAAATCTGAAGTTGTGAAAACTTTTTGCTTGAACGGTTTCTAATCAGTTTTTCCATATATAGGAGCTTTGTAGTTACTGTTTGTAGTAAGACGACATCACTAAAATGAGTTTTGTTTCATTTGTTCTCTTAACTCAAGAAATACTTCTCTTTAGGATTTTGAAAAACATGAAAGTGTGGAATATAAGCCTCCCAAAAAGCCTTTTGTGAAATTAAAAGATTGCATTGAGCTCTTCACAACAAAGGAAAAACTAGGTGCTGAAGACCCATGGTAAGGACAAAAAATTAAAATTGTTATGTTCTATGGTGTATTCCTCAAAATGTAATCAAAACCACACTTGAACATTAACAGAGATATCCGTTTGATTTCTTAATGCTATTTTGAATATTGTCGTTTGAAGCGTGTTTGAAAATTCTCAAAATATTTTCTATTTTGATCCATTGCTTAATTAAAATTGTTACCATATATGGAAGGTTATGTTTGTATGGGAGACAATTAATGCATTCAGAATTAGAAGGGAGGGTAGATCGATAAGATTCCCTAGTCTGTGAACTGTGAACCACAGTGAATAAATAATATCGTGCCAAATCCAACACAGTGGTTTAAACAAATATTCCTTTCTGAGATGAGAAAGGTTGGCGCATATTGAAGGATTTCTGTGCAAATACATAACTTGCCTTGCATTGATATATGAAATAAAAATGTGCTTAAACAACATGTTTGTGGGATGAGGGATGTCTGTAGTCAGTAGAACCTCTCAAATTCATGCTCCAACCATTAAGTTTTTGGCAGAGACTTCTATAGTGATTCATAGTTCTTCCAAATATATGATTTGGAATTATATCTGAATATTCACAATTATAAGATGTTCCTGTAAGATCCTTCTTCTCCAGGAATTTTCTAGCAGATAAGAATCCTTCATCAACACCTGAAGCTCAGAATTAAGTTTGAAAAGAGGGTCTGCCACTTCTTTTTTTGTGGATACTTAAAAGTTTTGGAGACTTCCAAGCTTTGTCATCAGAGATCCTCCTTTATTTGGGCAGGGGAGGGAGCTAACTAGCAAGTTCTCATATTTTTCTGGGTTGACTAGATGATAAACACTGGATAGAGTATTTGAGATACCATGTAACTCAAGTGTGGTGTAGTGCTTCCGTTTTTGCAGCAGGTTTTAAGCAGAGTATTTAAACTACAAAATACAACTACTGATGAAGTCAAGCAGTTGCTACTAGACATCTCACAGCAGGTCATTAATCACATTGTTTCTTCATTTGTCAGGTCTTCACAGGTCTAATCTACAAGAGTTTGTAATCCCTAGTGCAGTGCTATTTGTATTCCAGATATTCTAAGCCAATCAGTTACAACCTGACCTTACAGTTCTCCTCGTTTCTTGGTTCTATCTGATGTTGCTATGTAAAGACACTTGTGCAGTCTTTTTCAATTAGGGCTCTTCTCTTTTCCCTAGATCTTTGCTTGTTAGATACCAAGATGTAGAATGTCAATAGACCACTTCACAGAAAAGTTGCTTTCATGCATTGTTCTTACTTACCTTCCTCCCTGAGCCTTAGTTCTTGAAAGATTCAAGTATGCATTGCGGGGAACAGAAATTTATAACTCTCATCCCATTTAGTACTCACCTGCTAAGGAGGCAAGTTTTTTTAGTAAAGAGATTTTTCAGGTTCCAGTGTGCACTTTTATCTGGTTTTAGTGATAGGTGGGATGGGATGGGAGATGGATGAATTTGGAAACTGAAACGTGGAAGAGCCACAGTTGTCTGTTGTTTATGGCTTTTCATACTTCACCTTTCCTGAAGTATTTTCATAACCCTTTGTCTTTTTTATAAAATATAAGAAAGCTGTGTTTTGACTAAAAATACAAGGACTACTCTAGGAGATGAGAATGGTGTATTGAGGGGCACTACTTTTGTTTTTAAAATGCTGTTGAGCCTCACTGTGAGCACACTAGTACCTCATGTTTTAAACTGGAAGGGATATCGATGGCATTAGTAACAGAAGGTGGAACATGTATGTGTGTTTCAGCTTTTGCTCATCCAGTTCCTCCTATGTTACTGGCTTTCTCTATCGTAATGTATTTTAAGATACATACAGACTACAGTTATTTAAAATTGTTTGTTTGGTTTTTGTTTTTTTTTTTCCTTTTAGGTATTGTCCAAACTGTAAAGAACATCAGCAAGCTACTAAGAAGTTAGACTTGTGGTCACTACCCCCTGTACTGGTAGTTCATCTAAAGCGCTTTTCCTACAGCAGATATATGAGGGACAAGCTGGATACATTGGTTGACTTTCCGATAAAGTAAGAAACCTAAGTATTTTGGTGCTATAAGTGTAAAAGTTACAATGACGAGGACATATGTTTAATCCAGCAACTATGTTAAATTATTTTGTTCTCAGCTTCAATGTGTGGATCCTGTAAACGCTGATGGCAAAATGCTTGTAGGTGAAAAGTATGAACTTGGAAAAATAATAATAGTAGATAAGTATGGAAGTACTATATCAGTAGTTTTGGCTAAGATTACTGGTTCCTGTTCCACTCCTCACAAAATGAAAGAGAAGCAGTGTCAGTGTAGTCTGATACATGTGTGCTTTATGAGGAATATAAAGTAAAGGGCTTAAAGACCACCAAAATGTGAAGTGGTTAAAACTATTATTAATATGACCTTCTTTTGGGTTTTTTTATGTTTGGTTTTGTTTTTTTTTTTTAAACAGCGACTTGGACATGTCAGAGTTCCTTATTAATCCCAATGCAGGGCCTTGCCGCTACAACTTGATTGCTGTCTCCAACCACTATGGAGGAATGGGAGGAGGGCATTGTAAGTTGATTTCAAATATCATAATTCTATGTCAGCTTTCTTTCCATGTTTATTTTGATTTAAGTACTGATCACTTTGAATCAATGGCATTATTTAATGATTGAGGCACAATTTTTTCCATTATTTTGAAATGTTTTAACAAGTATTCTAACACAAAAATCTATATGCAATGAGCTTTCAAGGATAATTGTAGGTTCTTTTACACTTCTAGTTATGCATATTGTGAAAAGAGAAAATGTGAGAGCTCCATAAGAGCTGCTGTACTCTTGACAATTGATGTTGTCTTACTTGTCTGTATTTTTGTACATTGCACATTTCCTTGAAAGAAGAGAGAAAAATGAAAAAATGACTGAGAGATTTTTATTTTGACTGTCCTTTCTCACTATACGTTCTCTTCAACAGGGGAGTTTTATTGATTAAGCTTTCTTTGCTTAAGAAAAAAGCATGAAAGTATAATAGTGATAATGGGTTTTAGTTTATTAAATGTCAAATGTTTGACAGCAACAGACTCCTGCAATTGATTGTATTACATCTATGAAGATAGAAAGTCCTTAGACATTGTACTTTTTTGTCCTAGATACTGCTTTTGCAAAAAATAAGGATGATGGAAAATGGTACTACTTTGATGACAGTAGTGTGTCCACTGCATGTGAGGACCAAATAGTGGCAAGTACCTTTTGTGTTTCTAAAATTGTGACTGTTGATGATGTTTTCTCTTGAGGGAAGAAAAATGAAGAGTAAATCATGAACCTTGCAGTAAATTTGTAGGTAGTAGTTTGTGTTCTTTCAAAAAGATAGTACAAAACAAAAATGGTTTGCTCCAACATGCAAAAATAACTTACATGAAAGCTTTGGATTTCTTTGTATTTTTACCTTGTAGACTTGGAAGCAAAAATTAAAAAAAACTATAACTTGGATTGTAAATGTTTTGTCTGAAGCCTCATGAGCATATTACACTTTTCTATTTTACAGTCCAAAGCAGCATATGTGCTCTTCTACCAGAGACAGGACACAATCAGTGGAACTGGCTTTTTCCCTCTTGACCGAGAAACTAAACAAGGTGCTTCAGCTGCCACAGGCATCCCACTAGAAAGTGATGAAGACAGCAATGAAAATGATAATGATATAGAAAATGAGAATTGTATGCACACTAACTAATGGAAGAACTAGAAGCCATAAAAGAGACTTTCCTACTGGGGATACCTATTGGAAGAGTGAAATTGCCCACCAAATTAAGAATAAAATCTGAGATGGGGAATTTCAGATAACAGAATGTAAATCTTTATTACATTTTAACATGTGCAGTACTTGAAGTGAAACAATAAAATCTTTAACAGAAATTGTCTCTAATGCATTTACAGTCTTGTATTCACAAGCTATCTATAGGAAATCACAAATAAACCCCTTCTAAGTTTTCTGCTGCTCTTCTGATGGATTATGTTTTGTTTTGGATGTGATTTAATAACTAAAATGTTAAATCTGTGGACTTCTGACATTTATTTTCTTAGTACTGCAAGAATACTACTGCCAAGTCTAGTTTCTGGATGAATATATACATGTTCCTTAGGCTGTCACATGGACTACAAGTAAAAATGTCATAAATATATAAGCAGTAGTTTTCTTGAAACGGCAAATTTTTTGTTTCTCCCTAAAAATTAATAATTTCTTTTTTTTAAATTCGGCCACAATAGAAGAAATACCTTGAAAAGGTGTTTTGACCTTTTGTGATATAGTTGAGCATCCAGAATATTATGTTCATCTTACTGCTGCTGTGGAACGGGTTCTGGATTTCATGCTGCATTAACAAAAAGTTTTTCAATGAAATGTAAGTATCCTTTGTTGCTTGTTGGAATCTACTCTGCAAACATAATTCCTGTTATCCTGCTTTAAGACATGCATAATTTTAATCTGGTGTCAGTCCAAAATTTAAAATTGTGCTGTAAGTTCTCTCTCCCCAGTTTTTGTAGTTTGACAGCTTGCAAACTACTCTGTAATAGGGTCGGAGTAATTAGTATTCTGTATCCATAGTAATGACTGTGTACCGGGCTTAGGTGAGAATTTTTTCAATATAACCTGCCTTTAAATTGTTAATTAACAAAATGGCTTCAAAGGTAGGGCTGTTAATTTTCTTTGTGTGTTCCTGATGGAATTCACCATAGCCTTACAGCATATTGGAAAAGGTAACTCATTATAAGATAATTGGCATTTGCATGTTCAAGTCAGAACCTGTACAGTATATATAAGGCATATAAACTTTGAATTGGATTTTAGTTAAGTATGTTCAGGGGTCCAGAATGCCAAAATAAGTGTGACAGTTTGAAACATTTTTTTTAAATTTACTGCTTTCCCTTTGATCTAGTTGGAAGAATGTGCTGTTGATTTGTATACAATACTGCCTTTGAGAGGGGCTCTTAAGTGCAGGGGCACACTTCACATATCTACTACCTGGAGAATTGCTTGGTGTCCCACTGTTTAAACAAATAATTTAAAAAAGGAAAAAGCAAAAAGTATGATGTTCTTCACTTGAACTAATCAAATACAATAGGTTATAAATTGTGTATTGTAAATAAAGTTCACTCTGTGAGTGCACATTTTGGTAAATTATTTATTTATGTTAGCATTAAAAAGTTAAAAAAAATTGCATTTGACCAGGATATAAATGAGGTATGTTGGACATGGCTTTGCTTTATACCTTGATATTAAAACTGGTGTTTCATCCTGGTATTTTAAAGCTGCTTTTGAGATTTTTTTTTTTTAAATGTAAACTAACCTCCTGCATGACAGAGGTTAAAATTTTGTCTGCACTTGAGTTCACTTGGGTTTACATTTGAAATGCGCATGTTTATTTATACAGATTTCAATAAAGCTATTCAAGGCCTTATTTAGTCTTTCATTTTCTTACAGATTCTTTTCCCAGTGTTTGTGTAATGGGTAGTCTTTGTCTAAGACTTGTATTATTGGTTACAAAATAGCTATTTAATGACCAACATGGAATAAGATTAATAGTATTTCCAGAAGATAGTGTATATAAATGGGATGCTCTCCTGTAATTTTCTGGCTCTAAAAATATTTATAAGGCTGCAAAAAAAAATTATTGTCATTAAAAAACAAATAATAGGTTTTTAAAGTAATACTGTAACATGGAAAGATACTAACTCTGAGATGGCTGGTGAAATGAGGCAATATATGTCAGGCTAGACCAACTGATATGTTGGGGGGGGAATTATACAACCTTTTATCTTAAAACCTTGTATTTAGATGTGGAATACAGTGAACCAATACAAAGCTATGTACTAAATAGCTTGTGAGTTTAACTTGCTTGTTCTAATCACAGCACTTTAGGGATGAGCACTGTGGAGTAGAGGAAGTAATCCTAGAGAAGCAATCATCTTTTTGAATGACACACAGAAATGGCCCCTGTACATTCATGTTCCCCTTGATTTTCCCATATCATGTTAGCCTAGAACTTCCTGGGAAAAATCACTAAGGAGCAAAGGATCTGGTTTGACTTTGGTACCAAAGTCTCACTGGAGTTTGTAGATCAGAACTTTAAAAGCTGATAACTCTGTCTCCTAACGCACTTCATACTCCCTTTGAAAATGCAAATATATGTACATTAAACTTATGGAATCTTATATTTGAAGGAATGTACTTGCCTACTAATAGTTAGGTCATCCAGATAGAGTTTAAAAGGGTATGGATCATAGTAACATTTAACCTAGCAAAATCTGCTTCTTGTCTAAAATGGAAACTGATGATGCTGTTTAGACAGTCTACATTTGTGTAGTGATAATTCAGTATATTAATAGAAAACAAGGAATCTTAAAAAGCAAAACCAGCAAAACTCCTGACCAAAGTGGCTTGTTGGTGTTTTTTTAATTACTTTCTTCTTGGAACGATGTTACCTGACTCAAAACTTACTTTTGGAGCCTGTTCCCACTAAGAGTTCTCCAGAACACCACTTTTGTAATTTGGGAGAGAAGACAGAAATTTAATGACTTTTTGTTCTGGGACCTTTTGTAACATGTCCAGGCTAAAATTTTGGAAATTCTTGGAAAATAACAGGAAAAAATTACATAGATCGTTTTAATTTTTTTTTCTTATTGTTAATTTGGCTTCCAAGAGTGTCTGCTCCAGAAAGCACATTATTCTTTACAGAATCTGACAGAATTTCTTGTTATTCAACTAGTCACTTCAGAGAAGAAAGAGGGTTCTAACATCTCTCTCTATGAATCATGTCTGATAAAAATCTACAGTATGCTTTCTTTTTTCAGTTACACAACAGCAAGCTTTTTGATGGCTATAAGTATCAGCATAAACCCCAAAATGATAAGATAAAGTTAACCTTGTTAATGTGAGGGCCACAGAAACAAAACAGAGTAGGAGGCAGAAGACAGCTCGCAATTCCCAGTTACTCAGATTTTGTGAGAGCAAATGTCATTCAGATCCTGTCTGGGAGGGAAGGAGAGATGAAGAGATCCTGCCCAGGACCTCCTGTTATAGTTGGCTTCAGACAGCCTTACATATGCTTCCATGCAGGTCAGTTCCTGGATCTCTTCTGTCATCCACTTAAAGTCCTACTTGCCTTCCTGGCACACAGAAATGAAGTTTGCAACTTACAGTTGAGATGACAGATGAAAAAAGCTGTCAGATGTTACCCTGCCAGATGATGTAGGAACATCTCCTGCATCTACAGCCAGTTGCTAATGGGAAGGCCCCAACCCCTTCTAGCTTTCCCGTGCTGTGTGTGTTATGGAGTGCATTGTATTTTTTCAGTGTTTTGAAACCTTTTAAGGGGAAGTCAGTATGACAGGTAAATAAATTAATTGTCAAACACACCAGTTTTCTTGAAAAATTATGCCAGCTTCTTTGATACCAGACTCTGTAATTTCAGGGTATGGTTTGTCATTGTTTCTAAGTACTAGTTACTTTGACAAAATAACTATAAATGTAGTGAAACACAATTCATATGAAAGCTATATTTGATAGAATAAGCATATTCTGAATCTGCAGGCAAATTGCATTCTTTCCTTCAGATTTTTTAGTCCTTTTTCATTGGGGGGGGGGTAAACAGACTGTGAAAACAGTTCCACTTTCTTAGTTCCAACAGTGCATGCTTTACTGGCACTGGATGATGCTGAGGCAGGCAGAGAGACCTGTCTTACTGAAGTTAAATCTTGGAATAGCACGGAAGCCCCTGAAGAGTCCAAATGTGCCAAATTTATGACCAGTTATCCCATTAACTAGGAAATGAACTGGGTTACTACAGGCCAGGTAGCATTAATCCTGGGCCAAATAATGCAAAAGCTGATACAGGACTCATGATAAAGAATTCAAATCAGTCAGTAAGGTTTTATGAAAAGTAAGTCTTGTTTGGTGGTTTGGTTTTTTTGGGGGGTGGAGGGGGGTTATAATGTTATTATGGGGGTTCTTAATTTAAAAATAATTGATAATTATTATAATAAAGGTGCATCTAGAATTATTTAAGTGCTTGGCACTTAATTATCACATTTAGTATCACATTACTCTCAGCAAAATATGAGTGTTACACAGTATTACACAATACCAAGATTAGGAGCTGACCAACAATCAGTTGGTCAAACAAAATAGTTTCCATTCAGAATAGAGGCGTTATTTGAGAAGTTGGTGGCACTTGGTCTTAATGTTTTTTTCAGTGTATAAAATATCCAGATCATAGCTATAGAAGGGGGGTTATGTCCCAGAAGGTAGTAAGTACCTCTAAACCCTCTGCAGCCCTGGTGGACAAGCAATTCAGCATGAGCTCCCAGTGGGAAACACTGGCGTAAGAAATTGTCCTTGGATGCATAAGCAGAACTAAAGTTAATTTAATCTTCCTAGGTCTGTGTAAGGATCCTGAGAAAATACACCATTTGAGTTACTACCTTTTAAAAGTTCATATTGTAGCCCAGGAGACATTATAGAAAAAAAGTTACAACCCCAAAGTAAATAAATTTGTGTTAACAGATGTAAAGTGTTGTATCAGAAAGACTACTCGGAGGGGCCTCACTCTGTGTGCGGCACCTTACAAGGGGGCAAATAACTGTATGCAGGGGGTATTGAGTGGAGAGAAATACGCTGAGAACTAATGATTCAAAACTGAAACCAGACAATCTGAAAATAGAGATACGTGTGGGAGTCTTTTATGCATTTGCTTTTTAACAAGGAGAAGGAAGATCCCAGTGGAACAACCAGCAGAGGTGATCTGTGGGTGCTATGTTAACTCCAGGCTGGACACCTTCCCTGGGCGAGAAGGGATGGGAGACACAACAAAGGGGACACAGGACTGGGAATGAAGGACAGGGATGGCTCACTCACCAGT